GAGCGGGTGAGGCAGATCGAGGTCTCGGTGAGCGCCTCAGATGCAGGGACTCCTCCTCTCAGTGCCAATGTCACTGTTCGCCTGGTTGTGATGGATGAGAATGACAATGCACCGCTGGTGCTGTACCCAGCCCAGGACAGCAGCCCAGCGTCCAGCGAGCTGGTGCCCATGTCAGCTGAGGCAGGCTACCTCATCACCAAGGTGGTGGCTGTCGATGCTGACTCAGGGCAGAATTCGTGGCTCTCGTACCACCTGCTGAGGGCCACTGACCCCGGGCTGTTTGCCGTGGGTGCCCAAAGCGGGGAGGTGCGGCTGAGGAGACCTGTGACAGACAGAGACACCATGAAGCAGAAGCTCGTCATCCTGGTGCGAGACAACGGGCGGCCACCACTGTCAGCCACTGCTGCACTGAGCGCACTCCTGCTCAAGGACTTCTCAGACGTGCGCCTGCCCCACAGCAGCCTGGCCACGGAGGATGAGGGAGGCTCCCTGACCACCTATTTAATCATTTCCTTGGTCTTTGTCTCACTCCTCTTCCTCGTGTCCATATCAGCCTTTGTCACGCGCAAGGTGTGCAAGAGAAAGGAGCTGAAGGGTGAGCACGTGCTTTATGGCACCGGGCACTTGCAGAGTGGCCTGGCTGATGCGGCCGCTGCGGGGACGCTGCCCCACCCCTATTGCTATGAGATCAGCCTGACGACGGGCTCGGGCAACAGCGAGTTCAAGTTCCTGAAGCCCATGGTCCCCAGCCTGCCACCACAGCTCAGTGCCATGGGCGGAGGCACTGATGATGATGTCCATTTCCCCCATGGCCCTGTGGCCGTGGCGGACACGGCACCAGAGAACCCAGGGACGCTCTCTGCAGAACAGTTCCATAGTCTTTCTTTTAACTAGCATAGAGTCAGCACGGCCAGAGGCTTTGTTCCTCATGATAGGAAGGGATGCAGGCTACAGTGTGTGACAGTGGTTCCTCCAGAGTATATCTGCATTTGCCATTGTTTTCACTGATTTCCCATGGCTTCGAAGTTTGACAAAACTTTTTCTCCTCTCTCAAAAGACAACTAAGCAAAAGAAACTATGGCTCGCTCACTCAGGAAATAATATGTTTCAACTCTGTTACAGACATTTCTGAAATACTTCAAAAATGGCAGTAAGTCCAAGGTACCCTATTAAGTTCTTGTTTCTCTTGTAGGCAAGGCCATGTAGTTCTTATTCTGGACTGTTAGACAACAGCACGGTCATGTAGACCAAGCACATGCTCACTGACATGCACGTAGCCCTTTTCCCACATCCAAAATTCAAGGAAGTTGTGAGTACTGTGGCACAATGTAATGCAAACATGGGACTCATTCTCCTCTTTGTCCGGGATGTGTCTGTGAGAGGTGTGGGCTCTCTCACTATGTCTGTCCATGCAGCCATTGTATGTCTGTATACACTGCACTTGTGCTGCTCAGAGAAGCAAGGACTTGCACACACCTAACTATTGCGATGTGCACAATTCCCACTCGGCAGGCATGAAGGATCCTGGGACCCTCTGAGGACAGCAGCCACATCTTCTCTGAGGGAGTGCAGCAAAACGCACGAGATCTTCCTTTGGCCCATAAGAGGGGATTGGGCAGGTGGGCTGCCTCCTTGGAATTGCCTTGTAAATAGAGCAGCACCAACGGTGTTGGCAGAGGCTGGAAGTTTTCAGAGTTGGGAAAATGTGTTCATTGCCTTTGGGTGCATTGCAAGGTGTACTAGTTTGAAAACAAACTAGTGGGACACACCAAGTCAGAATAACAATTTACTAGGGAAATAATACGAGAAAAAAATATATAAAGGTATATAACACCGGTTTAAACTGACAGAGTCAGGATACAACCTGACACCCTGTTAATCAGGGTGGTGGTAGCAGTCCGGTAGAATGGTGGCTGCAGTCCCCCTGAAGCGGTGATCCTGTAGAAAGAAGGTCTGCTCTTCCTCATAAAGTCCAGTGGTGGCTATGTAGCTCCTATCCTCTGGAAATCCTGTGGAAAAGGTGGGTCTCTAGTATTCAGAATCTCATATTATATCCAGGGTGGAATACTTGGTTCCTAGCTCTGGGTGGAGCATCTCACAATGAGATAATGAGTCATGAGGCCAAATGTTGATTAAGCTCATTAGCAGAATATGGTCCAGAGGGAGTTATCTCTGAGTTATGCTGCATGACATTGATGGGCCATTAACATAAAGATAGTTTGCGGGGAAGAGGCCAGGAAACACTGCCCCACCTGATTTCAACAGCTCATGAGGATAGTAATAGAATACACTGCAACCCAGGACACAAGGAAAGTCCACTAGTTGCATCAGAGGACTTTGTCTGAAGGCACAACTGAGATGAACTTACAAAAGAGCCACTGAGTTTGGTCTTGTCATTGTTTTTGAATGGGAAATCTGTCCTCATACGATTTTCTGGGTTTGTGTTGAGAACATTTGCATTCTCATTTTTGCCCCTTCTCCTCCTTCACTGTGAATTTTTTGAGCACCATTTCACCTGTTTCTCTTCATAAGGACTGTCACTCCATGTATAATAACAGATTGCTTGTGTGTAGGCCGTGTAGCATGGAATATCTGGGAACCCTCACATTGTGTTTTTCTGCAATTATTATATGTATCATCATAAACCCGTATACGCTTGTGTGTGAAAGTGAAATAAAGAGAACACCTGAATGTCCTGTGGTCTTTGTAGATATGTTCTTCCTGGGAAAGCTCTCTCAAGTTTTTTAAAAGGATGGGTTATTTTTCTTATTTTCTCCCTTGGGCCTGTGTGTTCAAAAGTCTGCAAAGTAGTGAGGTGGGGAACCATCCTTCCTAAATCTCCCAACAGCTCCAGGTGCACATGGCAGCTGTGAGGTGTTTGAACACAAAGTATTTTGATTTTAAAAGTTTTGGGGGATGGATGACACAAAGACACAATACATTATCATTTGGTGTTGTATTTGAGGGAGCTCTAGGAAGTTATCATTTAGTGAGCTAAATCTGCTACCCAGGTGTTTTGCCAGTTATTAGGCCTAGCATAAATGACACAGCCAGCATAAAGATGAACCAGTAAGCAAATTGTATTTGATACAAAAGGGTCAGTACATGGTTGAGTGCTGGGGGTACAAACAAGTCAGATTATACATAATTGACATCTATCCCACTGATCCCAGCAACACCACCACACAACCAGCAATGGGTGGAATAAACAGTGAAATGCAATTTCCCGTAGAAGGGACAGGAGACAACTGAGTCAACAAACCAAATACACAAGACCAAGGAAGCCACACACTGAATCTCTACACAGCCCATGTTTACAAAAGCCAGACCTGACTGGAGCCCAGTCCCAGGGAGGTGGGAGGTTCTTCCCTAACAGGGAACTCTGCACAGTGCACCAATCTCACAGACAGACACTGCCTCTACCTGCAAGTGGTCCCAGCTTTTATCCCTCAGTGGGACACCTGACCTTTGTTCACTTAATGTGGGACACCTGGGGCTCCTTTACCCAATGGCTCTCCCTGCCAGGCCAGCCACACCCTGGAGGGAAGCCTGAAGGCAAACTCACCCCCCCCCTTTGTGAAGGGCTGTGGGAATCACCCATATGTCCACCTTAATTTGGGGCTGGGGGTTGAAACCCCAGCATTTCACCAGGTGAGGATTCCCTCTCAGGAAATGCAGAGGACTACAGCTGTCCCTTCCACAAAGGCCTTAAAAAAAAGGTAAGTGCTGAGAAAAGGCTGTTGTAGTGATGCTGACCAGAAGACAGTTGTACATCAAGAAGAGAATAGCCCATTGCTCAGTCAACTTGATTAGAATCATTTAGGTTGGTAAAGATCCTTGAGACCATCAAGTCCACCCCTTAACCTAACACTACCAAATCCACCACTAAACCATGTCCCTGTGCACCATGTGCAGGGACAGTTACTCAACCACTTTCCTGGGCAGCCTCTGTCAATGTTTGACAACCCTCTGTGTGAAGAAATTTTTCCCAAATTCCAATCTAAACCTCCCCTGGCCCAACCTGAGGCCATTTACTTTTGTCCTATCACTTCTAACTTGGGAAAGGGGACCAACACCCACCTTCTTACAATCTCCTTTCAGGCACAGGCCTGTGCTGTGCTGTGTTGTGTTTCACAAATCCCTGGGTAGCAGGATAAGCTCAGCTAGCTCACTATAACCAAAGGACCTGCAGGCAGCTCCCACTTGGTCCTGGAGAGAAAGATACCTGAGAGCAAGATGTCCACAGGGAACCTTCTTTTACTGGGACAGTAGAAATGATGAGTAGAATTGCTGTCCTGCAGGAAAGGCCTGTAATGGTTTGAATGGCTGAAGCAGGAGCGAGGCACTCTTTCTTGCCCATGACAGGGCTCTGCATGACATGCTGCGCATGGCTGGAGTCCTGTGTGAAGCTGCTCTGCTCAGGGTCCTCCACCTCTAAAGGATTCTCCATGCTAACCTCGTCCAACAGTGTGAGTTATAATAAACATATTTGGGAATAATGTCTTGGAGAGTCAGTGTGTCTCTCTTAGTGAGATGACAAGGAACCAGCATCTCCTGGTGTAAAACAACTGCTTCTCAGTTTGTTCCAGCTGGACATTCCAGTTTTCTGATGAGGTTCATGGTTGGTTTATTGTGTTTTTAACACTTGTGTGTTTAAATTGTGTTTAAAACACTTGTGTTTGAAACCTGATTGTTATGGTTTTAACCCTAGGAGAGGGGAAGGCTCTTTCCTGTATGGGAGGGCCTCAACACACTTGCAGAGCTGTCGTGAGGGGCTCCCCGGAGATGCTGTCTAGGAAGCAGTGCGGTGGGCAGGACTTGTCGAAGAGCTTCTCCCGGATGCCTGCCTGCCCCGCGAATCTGGAAACACCGTGCTCAGGGACGCTCGCAAGCGCGGGGCTGCAGCCGGCGCTGTGGGCTGCGCGGGAGCGGGAGTCCGGCCGGGAGGAGCGCCAGAGCGCTGCAGTTACTCGCCGAGGCGGCGAGTGTCGCTGTTGGCTCACGATGAGTCGACGGGCGGGCGGCGGCCGCCGGAGAAGCGGCGAGTAGGTG